TCATACCACTGTATGCAGAATTAAAATACGTTGCACTAATATTTTCTAGTATACATTGATTTCAGCAAAAATAAGAGGTCTGTGGTTCAGTTTAGCATTTAGCATTTAGCTTCTCTAGAGTTGAAATCTAAATGAACTCGTCTCAACTTTAACATCCAAAAAAAGCTAAAGACTTTGTGAAGAATTTAAAAACCCCTCAAAGTGAACAACGACATGCCGACACCACGTTCCTACAAGAGTATAAATATATTCTCTCATCTGAAAACCATTATTATACACGCTGCATTGTCCATTTTACCAGTAAAGGGACTCGTGGGTCCTTGTCTGATTCCGCTGGTGCAACAGGAAGTTTGAAAAGAGGAAACAAAGCAGGTTGTTGGTCGGTCAACGCGGCAACGACGGGAAAGTTCTGAAGAAAAGTTTTTGCATTGGAGGATTTCTGTTTTTTCTTTGTGCGGTGAGTTTTTGAGGATGGGTCAAAGGTCAAACTGTGAGGGGGTGCGTGGGTTAGCAGATTAAAATGCTCTTAATGTTCTCCTTGTGAGATTCGTACAGAGGCCTCGATGTCGTTGCTGTTAGCAAATGACACGACATTCCTCAGGAAAATGGAAACTTTTGCTCTGGAAGTCCTTGTGACAAAATAAATAACTGCTTCTGTCCTGCAGCTTGTTTTCTCCACCTGAAGAATCCTGATTGAGCCGCATGAAGGAAGAACAGCTGACGGGGTGATTGTCTGGAGGTTTGTGCGATTTGACGCTCGTTGTGCGTTGGATTCTTTAAACGGCTGACTTTGGTTTCTCCAACGAAGGAGAGCTGAAAGGAATGTCAACATGCTGCGGAAACATTTAGTTGTCTGCTGTGTGTTAGTGTAGCAGGACCACTGCTCTCTTAATTATCTGCCCTATAAGAAGGGATCGGTAGATCTGCTCTCTCTCTCTCTCTCCGACACCCGGCTACCCCGAACCGCACTGCTTTTGGACTGCTGCTGCTTTTTACGGGAATAGAACAAACCTCCTTTTTATAGGGTTAAAACAAACTCTTTTTTATGGGGATAAAATAACCCTTTTTAAGGACGTTGCTGATCTATGTGGATTGATGTCAAAGGAGACTTTAGGATTATTTTTGTTATTATTGGGATCATTTGATATTCTTTTTGGATTTGTCTTTTGAACCTGTAAATTCTTGTTTTTTAATATATTTTTGCTCTCATTTCCCTCTTTGTGATTCCAGGTGCTGAGGGCCTCACTGGTGAACCCTTTTTGGTGAAGGTGTCCCCTCGTGTGTAGTGTCTTATTCACTCCCTTTTTGCTTTACCCTTGTGTGTGTTTTGGAGTGTTAAAGAGTGGATTGTGGTGCTCCCATTTTAAGTTTATACCTTCACCCCCCCCCCCTCACTCACCTTGAGCCCGAAGGCCCCGGCCCTGGAAAACACGGTAACCTTTTTGACAGATTTTAATTGTTTTTATTGTGGTTGAAATAAACTTTGTATATTTGTTTTGGAAACACGTCTCCCGCCTGCTCAGTATAGCCGACCTTGGGTGTCCTTTTGCTTAAATTTAGAAATTTACTTTGTTCATAGATTTTTGTTCTTTCTTTTTCCCTGGGTTACCTCCCGGGGTGGCGTTGCTGGTTTACTTTTTTTCCCTTATTTAAAATACAAACGATCGGGGCAGTCTTCCCCGACCTCACGCTTGCCACATTAGCAAGGTGTTAATTGTCTGTTAGCAGTGTTAGCTTAGCGCAGTGTGGCGCCCCCTAGTGGTGGTGGGGCAGGCGCTCTTGGCTGCTGCTCCTCTGGACGCAGGCCAGCGGGGGCCGGTCGTACATCTCGCTCAGCGCTGTGAACTTTCCAGGACGATGTACTCGCCGGACTCCGGGACGCCACGGAGACCATGCGAGGCCGAGGAGGACAAGGGTCAGGAGGAGGAGCCGCACGTCTGAGCGGCGAGAGCTGCCGCCTCCTCTGAGCTGAAAACGCACCGCGCTGCCCGAGGAGAAGGAGAACTCTGGGACGGCTGAGGAGGAGGAGGAGTTGGTCAAGTCTCTTGGCTGAATGCTTGTTAGATGTTCATTCCAGGTCCTCCAGGTTCTCACCTCTGGTCTCCTGGCGTCTCTCCTGCAGCTCTGCAGCTGGACTCGTCTGTCTCCTGACTGTCCCCCCCCCCGGCCTCCAGCTCGTTACCCGCCGCCCCCCCACACTGGTCCAGGATCAGCTGGACGGCCTGCGTGCAAACACAAAGGCACACACGCACACTGAGACCTTCATCTTTCCAACGACCCTTAAACACATCACGGTTTCTTCTTCAAGTCTCATTTAAAATCTCTCCATAAATAAAAATTAATAGTTTTTTTTCAAAAACATTCAGTTCTGAGTTCCTCTGTGAAACTATAACTATACATAGAACATTTATACAAACTTTTATATATTCAACTTTTATTTTGAAATGAAAATCCAGACGACAGTAAAATGTATCTGTTATTGTAATTATTTAGCTCCTCCCACCTTCCCGTCGCTGACCACGTCGAGCCGATGCCAGCGGCGGTCAGTAACGGTGGATCGGGGCGGCAGCTGCAGGGTCAGCGTCCCCGACCCGTGGTTGATGCTCAGCGCCGGAACGCCGTTCCTCAACTCTGCAGGGAGGAGGAGCAGAAAGAGGAGGAGCCGAAAGAGGAGGAGGAGGAGCAGAAAGAGGAGGAGGAGGAGGAGGAGGAATGTGTGAGTGTGTGTTTTGGCTCCAGATGGAAACCTCTGCTCTTCGATTCATTCAGACATTTTGCAGTTATTAGTAATAAATCATCAAATCAGGTCCTGATGGACCTCAGCCTCCTGCCAGATGGAAGGGGCACAAACAGTTTTTGTCCTGGGTGAGAGGGGTCGGCCACCATCTTTTTAGCTGCTTCAGAGACCTGGACGCCATAAATAAACTAAGTAATTTTATGTTTGAATTTTGGCAGGTTAGGCAGTGCCTACCTTTCCTACCCTGACTGCTCATTACTGCATTTTACTGTACACAAGCAGGCTTCTTTACTGGCTGTTCTTACCCACAATCCTTTGCATAGCAGATATATTCAGAGGGTTCAAGGTGCCATGTGATGAGGAAGTAGAATGCTGCATGTAACAACATGTACTTGAGGAAGCTGCAGTTTGTCATAAAGGTAAATGGTTTAATAAGCAGCTTCACACTGATACGTAGGCGAGTTGTTTCGCCCCAACAGGTTCAACCTGATCATCAAAGTGGAGTGAAGAATAAAAACACTCTCAGCTCAGACTCTGTTGTCTTAGTGGATGTTTTTATTCAATATAAACTCTTCACAACATTTGTTACAAAGGTTTCTGCTTCATCACGTGTTCCCTACTAGTCTACATGTAGAAGAAGACCAGGAGACAAAGAGGGGCGTGCACGGGTCCTCTGAACCAGTCTGTTGTCATAGCAACTCTTTACAAGGTGGAAGGATCGTTCCACTGATGCTGGTTTTGATCCTCAAATACTTTTGTTTGAGCAGTGAGGATGATTCTGTTCACGATGACCTTTGACCCTGTAAACAGCTCAAACTGAGACTCAGTCAACCAGTCAGACCGCATACTTTGATGGTGATGTGAGGACACACCCTCTCTAATGAAGGACAACAAGCTCTAACAAGCTGCGTCACTTCACTCCGTCTGATGGAAGCTGAAGTGAAGCACGGAGCTCCTTTTCTACACGGACCTGCTGAGGACAGAAGAGAGCTGCTCACTGAGGAAGTTCATGTCTACAAGCTCAGTAAGTGCAGCTGTGATTGGTTGAATGACATCATTGATGGTCGTGAAGGTGTGATTGTTTAAAACTGGGAAACAAGATGGCGCCTGTGTGAGCAGGCAGAGAGAAGCTGCTGTTAGTCTGAATGATGACCTGTGATGAAGAAGAGGAGCTCAGTCTGATCTGGGGTCTGTGAGGACTGTTACTGATGAGGAGGGGAAGGTAGCAGACGGAGGGGCACTAGGACCCAGCAGGGACCATAGAGCTCACCTGGGCCTCTGTTCCTGAAACACACCTGAGAGACGCTGCTTCAGTCCTTTGTCTCACCTGCTGCTTCAGTCCTTTAAGTCCACAAAGCTTCATGTTCATTTCTTCATCTGCTTTAAACACATTCAGTCACTTTTTAGTGTTTGACTGTGTTTGTTTTCTTTAGTGTTGAGTTTTTCTCTCATTGATCAGCAGGTTGTAGTCGACCTTTTACTAACTGATCACATGGTGAAGTGAAGCAGCCCATCAGGAGAAAGCTTTCCCATGTTACCATGGTAACCACAGTGTTTCCATCAGGACAGCTACAGGTCACCTTACTGGTCTGTGCTTTACTGACTTCTGGACTCTGAAGGAGATCAAGAGGAGAAACACCACAGCTCCACCTGCTGGAAGACGAGCGATAATGTTCACTTGGTAAAACACGACGTTTACAGGATGAGCGTTTATAATGACGTCTCTTCACATGTTAACAGGGTTTAAAGAAGTGTGTCTTTCTCTACAAGTCTTTAACAGATCCACAGCTGAGGGGGACAATGTGTCCACAGGACGACTAGTAGCGTGTCCTCCACATATCTGTCCTTTATGGAAGAGAAGAAGAAAGAACTGTTGCAGATATTGCTGTTCAGTATTCGCAGTGTGCTGATATTTCTTTGTTCCTGATTTCACACACACACAATAATACACAATGAGGGAGATTGGATTCATATCTGCATTGTGATGGATGCACCACTGTGGTCACACGTCCTTCAGCCTTTAACCCTCAGTGCAGGACGAGCATTTTAAAGGAGGAAAAGTTTGTCTTCCTCCAGAAGTCTAAACTTTAACAGAAGACAACAACACATGAGAGTTTTAGTGTTGAGGTGAATGAGCTCTGTGTGTTTGTCCTGATGAAGATAATAATGTGTGAGTTCTCCCAGCAGGTGGTTGTGAAGGTGTGAAGGTGTGGACTCTGCTATGAATCAGGGTGAGGACCCAGAGGACGGAGTCCGTCCCTCTAAAGCTCCTCTGTGTGGGGAACATGACAGCCAGACCACAGCTCAGAGGTGAGAGGACCATCTCCAACTGTCCTCCAGTCTCCTCCATGTCCCAACGTCTTTGACTCACTGACTCTGGTTCTACATGTGTGAACAGGATCCATCAGAGACCAGGACCTGGACCTGGACCTCCAGCTGGCGCTGAACCCAGCTGTGTGTCCATGAAGAGTAACCAGTCCATTAATCAACCTCTAGAGTTCAAACATGTCCGTCCCTCTGTTGATGCAAGGTGAGGGTCTCAGGCTGATGATGAGGTGTTTCTAGTGGACTCTCTGGTGGAGGTTCTGGGTTTCTGGCTCTAGGGCCCTTCAGCAGTGTCCAGGGAGGGAGGGAGAGCTCCATGGAGGATTTGGTGAGACCTGTTGGGACTAAACCAAACTGACCTGTGAAGAAAACAGTGAGGTGATAGACTGAGCTGTTGATTCTCAGTGGGACCAGCAGGACCAGTAGACCTAAACCACTACAGGGAGTCATGTGGTCCACATCCAGACATCACGTCATGGACCTTTACCTTGTTTTGGTCTCTGTGAGGACGGACACCATGTGACCTGATGCTTCATGATTAAATGATGATGTGATGATGTCATCTCAGTGTTTCTTTCAGGTCACATCAGCAGAGAGGAAAGTCTCCTGAACCCACATGTGTGTCCATGAAGAGTGATCGGTCTAATGGTCGATCAATTAACTTCAAAGATGGACGCCGTTCTTATGACCCAGAGTAAGTTCTTATACAGATGAAGAACTGTTCTGATCCTCAGTTATGGAGTACGGAAATTATGTAAACACAATGTGAGCTAGTTCAGCCACATCAGGATCAGCAGAGGTCACATCTGGAGACAGCTGCAGGTTTCTGGAGACAGATGACTGAGACTGAACATCAACTAGAATAAACTCGTTGCTCTGTGGACCAGCTGACGTGGTCTCTGGACTCCATGCAGAGGTTTGGACAAAGTATCATCAGTAGACTGGACAAAGACTAGTTTCAGAAGGTCTAAGGAGACTTCTAGACGTCAGGTGACGGACTAAAGAGGTTTGGAGTAGTTTCATAGGACTTTGCATCAGATAAAGAGGTCTGGAGACGTTTTTATGACCCACAGTAAGAACTAAAACCAGATGAAACTGATGACTAACTCACTCAACTACTGTCTGTCCATCATCAACAGTCTTCAGCATCTGGTTTTCATCATGATCAACCATGACAGAAGCCAATATCTTTAACTAATGTTGTGTTAGTGTTGATGGTATAAACACTATGTGAGCTAATGGTTCATGTTCCTCCACAGAGAGGACCAGGAGAGCTCAGAGGTTACGTCTGCCCAGCAGCATCAAACACACCTGGACTCCATCTTCATGGTGTGTACATGAACAATTACTTTTACATCTCAGTTCACCATCATCTCCATGCTGCACTTTGTAGACCAGTGGACTGTCCGTCTGTCCAACATGGACCTGATGGTGGCTTCCATGGTTCTAGCTGGTGTCATTCATAGAATATTCTGTTCCAGCTGCTGGAGGAGAACCTCCTCACTTTTGTGAAGAACGAGCTGAAGAAGATCCAGAAGATTGTGAGTTCAGATTACCCAGAATGCTCAGAGAAGGAGGTTGAGGAGGTGCTGGATGAAGAGCAGAGGAGGAGCAGAGAGGCATTTGTCAAGATCTCAGTGCACTTCCTGAAGAGAATGAAGCAGGAGGAGCTGGCTGAGCGTCTGCAGAGCAGTAAGAGGATTTCTCTACAGACTCACCATGCTGATGAATCAGACCTTCACTAATGTCTCAAGAGATGGACAGAATATATTCATAGTCATTCTCTGAGGAGAGGACATGTTGAAATCTATTCTTTGACTCATTGATCCTCTTTCTTGTCTTCATTCAGGACTTCTTCCTGCAGATTGTCAGCGTGAACTCAAATCCAACCTGAAGAAGAAGTTCCAGTGTGTGTTTGAGGGGATCGCTGAAGCAGGAAACCCAACCCTTCTGAATGAGATCTACACAGAGCTCTACATCACAGAGGGAGCGACTGCAGAGGTCAATCAAGAACATGAGGTCAGACAGATTGAAACAGCATCAAGGAAACCAGCCAGACCAGAAACAACCATCAGACGAGAAGACCTCTTTGAACCCTCAGCTGGAGGAGAGGAACCGATCAGAACAGTGATGACTAAGGGAGTGGCTGGCATTGGGAAAACAGTCTTAACACAGAAGTTCACTTTGGACTGGGCTGAAGACAAAGACCACCAGGACATACAGTTCACATTTCCATTCACCTTCAGGGAGCTGAATGTGCTGAGAGGGAAGAAGTTCAGCTTGGTGGGACTTGTTCATCACTTCTTCAGTGAAACCAGAGCAGCAGGAATCTGCAGGTTTGAGAAGTTCCAGGTTGTGTTCATCTTTGACGGTCTGGATGAGTGTCGACTTCCTCTGGACTTCCACAACAATGAGGTCCTGACTGATGTCACAGAGATCTCCTCAGTGGATGTGCTCCTCACAAACCTCATCAGGGGGAAGCTGCTTCCCTCTGCTCGCCTCTGGATCACCACACGACCTGCAGCAGCCAATCAGATCCCTCCTGAGTGTGTTGACATGGTGACAGAGGTCAGAGGGTTCACTGACCCCCAGAAGGAGAAGTACTTCATGAAGAGGTTCAGAGATAAGAAGCAGGCCAGCAGGATCATCTCTCACATCAAGACCTCACGAAGCCTCCACATCATGTGCCACATCCCTGTCTTCTGCTGGATCACTGCAACAGTTCTGGAGGAGATGAAGACCAAAGATGAAGGAGAGCTGCCCAAGACCCTGACTGAGATGTACATCCACTTCCTGGTGGTTCAGTCCAAAGTGAAGAAGGTCAAGTACGATGGAGGAGCTGAGACGGATCCACACTGGAGTCCAGAGAGCAGGAAGATGATCGAGTCTCTGGGAAAACTGGCCTTTGATCAGCTGCAGAAAAACAACTTGATCTTCTATGAATCCGACCTGAGAGAGTGTGGCATCGATATCACAGAAGCCTCAGTGTACTCAGGAGTATTCACTCAGATCTTTAGAGAGGAGAGAGGACTGTACCAGGACAAGGTGTTCTGCTTCGTCCATCTGAGTGTTCAAGAGTTTCTGGCTGCTCTTCATGTCCATCTGACCTTCTTCAGCTCTGGTGTCAATCTGCTGTCAGAAGAACAAACAACCTCCTGCCGGTCTAAACGCTATAAACCCAATCCTGAACCAACACGTCTCTACCAGAGTGCTGTGGACGAGGCCTTACAGAGTCCTAATGGACACCTGGACTTGTTCCTCCGCTTCCTCCTGGGTCTTTCCCAGGAGGCCAATCAGACTCTCCTGCGAGGTCTGCTGACACAGACAGGAAGCCACTCACAGACCAATCAGGAGACAGTCCAGTACATCAAGGAGAAGATTAGTGAGAATGTGTCTCCAGAAAAAAGCATCAATCTGTTCCACTGTCTGAATGAACTGAATGATGGTTCCCTAGTGGAGGAGATCCAACAGTCCCTTAGATCAGGACGTTTCTCCCGCGAGGAACTGTCTCCTGCTCATTGGTCAGCTCTGGTCTTCATCTTACTGTCATCAGGAGAAGATCTGGAGGTGTTTGACCTGAAGAAATACTCTGCTTCAGAGGAGGCTCTTCTGAGGCTGCTGCCAGTGGTCAAAGTCTCCAACAAAGTTCTGTAAGTACAGAGCGTTAGATTCATACATCATGATTTTAATATTCTGTGATCTGTTCTTCTTATTGTCCGTATTGTCTTCATTGTTGTTTCTTCAGACTGAGTGACTGTAACCTCTCAGAGAGAAGCTGTGAAGCTCTGTCCTCAGTCCTCAGCTCCCAGTCCTCTAGTCTGAGAGAGCTGGATCTGAGCTACAATGGCCTGCAGAATTCAGGAGTGAAGCTGCTGTCTGCTGGACTGGAGAGTCCACACTGTGGCCTGGAGACGCTCAGGTCAGGATTCAATTAATCTGTGTCTTTATTTACATCAGCGGGACATTTATGACTTTCATGAGATTCCTTCTGCTTGCATGATTTAAATCTTTATTTATTTTCATTATAATGTTACAAATATAAAAATGGAAGACCAAAACTGAGTTATCAGTAATGTTACCTTAGTGTTGGTGTACATTAGTTGGGGTGTAACCATGTTAATATGACCCCTCAGTAGGAAACAGTATCTCAGTCCCGCAGTGACCTTCCAGTCCTCACAGCTCCCTCAGATCATGTGACATGTGTGTTGTTTCGTGTGTTTAGGCTGTCAGGATGTCTGATCACAGAGGAAGGCGTTGCTTCTCTGACCTCAGCTCTGAGCTCCAACCCCTCCCATCTGAAAGAGCTGGACCTGAGCTACAATCATCCAGGAGACTCAGGAGTGAAGCTGCTGTCTGCTGGACTGGAGTATCCTCACTGGAGACTGGAGACTCTCAGGTATGCTAAGAGGCCTGCTGCAGCCACATAGAGGTAGAACTGGAAGCTTTTTCTCTGTCCCACTGTCAGCCTGGTTAATAAGACCCTGACACACCAAGCTGACCTCAAACTACCAGAGACTCATCAAACTGTTTGTGTCCCACATCAGACCATCAATACAGACAGAAGTAGTGAGGACCAGTATCCAGGATGAGCTTAAACAGGGAGGAAGGTGATGAAAGGCTTGTTTCTCTGGAGCCTTGTCTTGTCTCCACGTTATAAGAGAGGACAGTGTCTCCTGACACGTTGACGGCATCATGGTGGGTTTATTATGAGACAACATCAACATGCTGCAGGTTTTTGGCTCTTAGCAAACAACACTTGGATATTTAGATGCTGGTCATCTGCCTCCAGTGTGTGTTGTCCTTTAGTCCAGACATTATCCTTAAGAGACAAACCGTCAAAGAAACAATCTGTTCAACAAGCGTCTTGATGGATCATCACAGGAGGAATGTTTGGTGTTTTTAAGGAGTTCAGCTTCACCTGGTTTTGGTTCTTTTCACTGAGAGACAGTTCCCTGGATGATTAGAATGGACTTGAAACTACAGGTGACAGTTGGCCACAGACGCTCAGTGAAGAACCAACAGCTGATGGTGGACCTGGTGTGTCAGAGCCCAAAGAGGTTTGTTTAGGACTGGACCAAAGTTCTAGGGAGACTCAGGCAGTGATCTGTGGCTGCAGACCCACCTGAGCTGTAACGCCTTCACCTGCTGACTATGGCTGCAACTAACGATTATTTTTGTAATCGACTAATCTATCGACTATTTTTTCGATTACTTCATTAATCTAACGATTATTTACCACAGTGTAGGAGCGTGGAAACAAACAGAGGCAAGTATTCGTTTTGGCTACGACGTGTGACCATTTATTTCTATCCAATAATTTGGATTTTGAACTTCAAATGTATTTGAGTACCAAGTTAATACAAATGTAATCATCATAATAAATACATTCAATTCAATTTAATCCATTTTGTTTAACCCCAAATTGCAAATTACAAATTTGCCTCAGAGGGCTTCACATTCTGTACACATGCGACATCCTTTCTCCTGAAACCCTCACATCGGCACAGGAAAAAAGGGAAGAAACCTCAAGAATGTCAGGGATTGCGGGGGAGGTAGGACTCAGACGCAGAGTTCAAAACAAAAGGGACTTTAATTGTCAAAAAGGTTAAAGCAAAAGGCCAAGGGG